AAGTTTACCACGGTTAAGAGGTTAACATGCAGCGGGGAAAAATCACTGTAATGCATGGCTTTTATCCTATATACAGTGGGTACGGAAAGTATTCAGACTCTGTCAATATGGGGTGCTGTGTGTACATTAATGAGGAAAAAAAATTAACTTAAATGATTTTAGCAAATGGCTGCAATATAACAAAGAGTGAAAAATTGAAGGGGGTCTGAATACTTTCCGTACCCACTGTAAAATAGTGAGAATAGGATGCCAATGGTCGTAAATTGAGTTATAATTTTATAATATAAATATATTTAATATGTTGACATGACATAAACATTATGTTCAAAGAGAGAGGAATTTGTTGCATTAATATTATATTATTTTTGCAGTAAAACACTCTCCAAGAAGTTGCATCTTATCCTCTTCAAACTAAAATGAATAAATCAGCATAAATTTCTTGGGCTTCTTAAGATAGACTTGTTGAGTTTGTATTAAGAAGCCCTAAATAATTATGCTGGTTTTAGCAGTTTTAGTTCAAAGGGGATGAATTCATAGATGCAACATCTTAGATAGGGTTTTACCGTGGTGACAATTCAAAATCAGCGATTCCCAAACTTTTTTGTTGTTGTTGCTGTACACCTTTGACCTAAAATATTTATAAATATTTTACGTTTGTATTTTAATTAATTTTCTGACATCCTTTAATAGTCACATGAAATGTTGGTAAACAAATAAAGATTTAATGGTTTATTTAGATTTTTATTATAATTATTTTTTAATATTTCATTTTTTATTACATTATTATTTCTATATATATATTTATTTTTTACAATAAAAAAAAAAATGTATTGTAAAATAATTACTTTCAATTTTGCATTTTTATGTTTGAATAAATTAATAGCTTTTTACCCCAGTTTGGGAAACCTTGAGCTAAACAGCACAATAAAATACTAATTCATACATTAAAAAAGAGAAACTTTCTAATCTAGTAGGCAGTTGTTGAATGGCTAGTTGACCATGACTCATCCTTAATACTGGATGGTTTACAGCCGCTTTCAGAAAGAGCTAGTTTCGAAGTGTGACGTTTTCCAGAGATTTTGTTAAACGTGTTTTTGCTCTGGTCGGTCAACAGACATTTGTGGAAAACATTTGTGGAATTCAGCTGAACGTGTTTGTCGATTTGTCACTTTTGTCGAGTTTCCCAAACTAGCTGAGTTTTGCCTCTCACTGCAGGTATGTTATGTCTGATTGCTCGTCTGCATGGTAAATGACGTCCTGATGTTCCTCAGACGAAAGCCATCCTCTCTGTCTGTGTCTTTGCTCTGATAATGATCCACCTTTCTGTGTGGAGGGGAACATTCCTGGCTTCATTAGTAACAGATGTGAAGGACCTTTTCAAAGTGTGTCCTGTGAGTGGAAAGCAGCGCTGTAGTGTGGTTTGGTGGGGTGGACAGTTGTGTTTTGATTTTTTTTTTTTATCTTTCATGTATGAGGACAGTTGTGTTGCCCGACAGGAACTGTGCCGCGGCTGGTGGATCATGAACAATCACGCTGTCATCGCCAGCCCTGAAATACAACACAGCAACCCTGTAGTCAGAAAATATCTTATTACCTGGTGTGTGTGATATTAACACTTCCATTCAGAAGTTTGGGGACGATAAACTTGGGGACGATTTTTTTTAATGTTTCTGAATGAAGTCTCTTCTGCTTTCCAAGGCTGCATTTATTTTATCAAAAATACAGTAGTATTACTATTTAAAATTCCTGTGATCAAAGCTGAATTTTCAGCATCATTACTCCAGTCTTCAATGTCACATGATCCTTCAGAAATCATTCTAATATGCTGATTTGCATTATCAATGTTGAAAACAGTAGAAAACAGAATTTTCTATAAATGTCTTTACTGTCACTTTTGATAATTTTAATGCATCTTTGTGGAATAAAAGTGTTAATTTCTGAAACAAAATGTACTAACCCCAAACTTTTAAATGGAAGTCTGTATTATTCTGATTATCCTTTTTTTATATCTAAAGCAGCTTGCAGTGAGACTTGAATTTATATTTATTTTTAAATAACAAAATCTTTAAAAAATCAAACATGTAGTTCAGCATGTAGTATGCAAGTATGCATTCTTAGCATTAGTGGGTATTAGTATATAGTTAAACATTTAATCAGCGCTTTTCAGAATCTGATGAAAATAATATATTTATCATCAAAATCTCTCTCGACTTGCCCATATAATCTTGCTGCTTACCTGTTGAAACAGATGTAGTGTGTTTTATGATACTTTAAAATGTAGTTTAGATGTGCAGATTGCTGGGTTTTGGTCCAGTGTTTTGCACCCCATTGGTTTTCATTTGTAGGGACAAAACAGCTGGTTTGGAATAATTTTTGGGTGAACAGTCCCTTTAACTGTTGTGTTTCCGCCAACATGATGTGTACATCTTTGGATGTGTTTGACAATTGGCTGCATGCTTTTGTGAGCTTATTCTGTTCAAACGTGTGGGTTTGGTATTGTTGTGGACTGAAACAAGCATCGTTACTAGCTGATTGATTGTTTGTTGATGGTTCATCTGCACAGCGATATTAGTATTGTGCTTTTGCCAATACAAAAAGCCGCACTGACAGAGGAAGTTCAGAGCTTTATTTAGCACGAGACCTTCAGCACAGATGATCCATCACCACAAGACTTCCTTTTCATCTTCGACCAGGGCGCTTCCCAGCCTTCTCCCATTCCTCGAGTGTCTGAAGGGTGTTCTGTGAGAGGTGCCAAGTGTGTCACCCTGTTTCCACTGTTGTGTGTTATTGAGCAGGTTAAGCAGTGAACGCTTTGACCCGGTTGGCACTGAAACACACTTTAATCCATGGGGTTTACAGACAGGAACTGTGCTCGTCTATTCCTTGTCATGCGCTCACAGACCTGGCTTTTACAGGAGACAGACGTCTGCTCTTCTCTTTCTGAAAGACTCACAGAAGGAGCCTGTCTCTGTCCTCTAAAGGTGACATGAGTGTTTGTCTGTGTTTGGGCCCGTTGTGCATGTGAGCGCGTGTTTTCCTAGATAACTGTTTGTTGTTGTCAAAGGAAGTGAGATTTTGAGGTCACTGGAACACAGCAGATAAACAGAAGGGACTTCTGGAATGATTTATGCTGCTTAAACAGCGCAACAAGTTCCCGTAGTGTTAATTCAGCAGCACAGTGATGGTTTTGAATAATAATTATAATACAGTATATTAAAACAGTTGTTATAATAATAATAATAATTAGTATTATTGTGTGTATATATATATATATATATAACTATTATTATTAATGTTGTTGTTATTATTAGTATATTTTTTCATCCGTGTTTTAATTTATATAATACACACATTCTATTGTCTAGTTAGAACCTTATTTGAGAAATAAAAAATGTAATATTGTTATAGATTATATTTTCAATTGATTAATAAGTTTGATTACATTTTTAGTTTTATGAATTAATTTCATTGGATACTATGTTTAACAGTAAATGTAATAAAACAAAAAGTCAACAATTTGGAAAAACAATAAAACATATTTAATGGGTTTTATGGGAGTTCAGTTGTATACAAACAAAGCTATGTTTACATTCATTCTTGAGGTCTAACAAACATGTGGAATGATTTCCTTTCTCATTAATAGTATGAAATGATATTGTGATAAATACTCAGTCATATTGAATGATTTTTATTGTAATAATATTTTTGGCCAAATTGCCCAGCCCTACTTGAAAAATTGTCTGTTGGTTGTCTAGTCAGTCCTAATTATGTCTCGTATAATGTGGCACGTTTCACACAGGAACGTGTTTTTGTGTTCAATAAAAGACAATCCAGCACCCGAGGCTGTCATCTGAAGTGTGATGACTTTAGCTGTTAAAATGAGCAAAATTGTGCGGCATTATATTTTTTTCATCTTATGCAAATCCAACGGGACTTTTTGCTTAATGACAGGCCGAAACAACACATCTCTCATGGGTTTTACCTGTTGGTTTTGAATTGCAGGTATTGTGATGGGCTACGGGCCCTGTCCTGTTCTTCAGACAGTGGTATACTGTGCTCTTTGTGGTCCTGTAGTGTTCTGTTAGGTTTGAATATTGAGTGTTTTTTTCATGACATAAGGCCCATTGTGATTTGTTGTTTCAGTGTGTTCTGTTAGGGGAACATCGCTATATAGCTTGCTCCATTTGACATGAATGATTCTTTCAATTATGTGTCTTGTTGAGGAAACATTGGCATTGTTATTTTAGTATTATTTGTATTGTTTATTAATATTATGAATGAGCTGAATTAGCAGTTGGTTTAGTTTTTAAAAGCTTTAAAAGTTTAATTTTATTCTTTTCATTTTTAATCTAATATTTTATTTTATTTTAGTTTAGTTTTAATTTACCAAAGTCTGTTTTTAATAGTTTTACTTCTTGACATGAGTGATTCCTCAAATCATGTGTCTTGTCGAGGAAAGTGTGGTTTATAGTATTTCAGTGTTATTTATAGTATTTATTAATATTTTGAATTAGCCTAGCTTTTATTTTTTTGTCTTTAATTTGTTTTAATAATTTTGTTTTTTATGCTTTTTAAAAAAGATTTTAATGTCTCAATTTTTCTTTCATTTATTTTTCAGTTTTAGTTATTTGAGTACTTAAACGCACACTTATTTTAGTTTGTTTCCATTTTTCATTTATTGTTTATTTTATTTTTATTCAGCTTTATTTATTTTTTTTACCAAAATCTGTTTTTAATAGTTTTTGTTATAGTTAACGACACTGGTTTCTTTACACACAATTTTCACAATTTTTATTACTGTACTAAAATATTAGATTTTTTTTTTTGCACACAAATGCAGCAAGAGTATAATTTAGGCCTCATACAGTTGATGGTTTAATGACCAGAGAAACTCTCTCTAATACACTGTAATCAGTGCACTGTTTGAAAACCAACGCCTGAATCAAAACACATCCTCCCTGTGATATCTCACTGACATTTTCTCTTTGTCTCTTTTGCAGGAAATGACTGAGAGGCCTTACAGATAGTTTGTGCTTTTGTTTCTGCGGCCTGCGTTTGCAGAGAGAATCCTATCTGGAAGCACATTTGTTTCCGTTGTATTAACTACCTCAGGCACTGGAAACTGATAAAGAGGGAGCCCGGCGATCTCTCCCGGCAGCTGCGTCTGTTCAACCGGCCCCGCTCGGCCCAGACCAGCTGTACAGTGCTCACAAACCTTCTGACCGACTGGATCCGTCAGAGCGGCGCAGGCCCGCAACGTGCCAAGGCGACATCACCCCGTAGCTCGCACCAATCTTGTCACTGTTTTTCCTTTCCTGAAAATTCATATTGTTTTTTGCTGAGAGATTTTTAAGATTTTTCTATTTTTATTAGAGGGCTACTGAAAGCGTTGGGAAAGAAGGGTTTTTCGCTTCCATTTGAAGGATTGATTATGCACTTTGGATTTTCATCCAGGATTAAAGCTAGATCGTATTTTCCCATGAGGCACCTGTGAACCACTTCTAAAGGAAACTAAGTTTCAGTGAAATCTTTTGTCATTTTTGCGCTAAAATTTTGATGTGAGCTGCGTCTGAAGCTGCAGCTGGGCTGCAAGATTTCCTTGAACCTTCCATCGTGCAGCTCTCCATCTCTCTCTGGAGCGGGATACTGTCATGACTTCCCCTCTGATGGGATCTTTAAGCTATCTATTTACTTGATTCCAGGAGTCCCAAATTAGGCATCCAGAACTCATTCGAAGGTGAAGTCGAGAGGACCGTTACTTCCTGGGCGCATTTAATACTTATGTATTGTTGCAGTGCACAAGAAAGTAAAATGGACTACAAGCTGCGCTTTTTGCTTGGCGGGTCCAAGCACAAAGTGCAGCAACACCAGCAGTTCCAGTTGCCCGAGCTCAGTCGGACCCTCAGCGCCCCGTTGGGCTCTTCTTGCTCCACCCCTTCTCCCATGGCGACCATAGGCTCCTCCCCTTCTGTCTGCCATGCCCCGCCCCCCGGCGCCACCACGGCGATCGCGGACATCCAGCAAGGCATCTCCAAATACCTGGACGCGCTGAACGCGTTCTGCCGCGCAAGCGCGTTCCTGACCGAGCTCTTTGGCAGCGTTTTCCGGGACTCGCGTTACTCCAAAGCAGCTATGCAACTGAAGGACGTGCAGGAACATGTCATGGAAACGACCAGCCGGCTCACCACAGCAATAAAGCCCGAGATCGGCAAAATGCTGATGGAGCTCAGCGCAGGCGCGGCTAACTTCAAAGACCAGAACGACTTCAGCCGGCAGGATGTTGAGGTAAGTCGCTCGAAAACCACCTTGCATGTTGATGTTTAGTAGTACTTGTCTTTGAGGTTAAAGGCACAATATGTAGGTTTTCGCCAGTAGAGGTCGCATTTTCAAAACAATAACAAAGGCGAAGCTTGAAGTGATGCTATGAAGGAGGATGTTCACGGATGAGGTAATTACTTAATTTTTTTTATTACCTGTACCTTCCACAGTTTTTCAAACAGCGAATAAATTATACAGAGAATGTGAGCAAAGAACATACATTGTCAAAGAACATTGACTAACTTAAGTCTAGCGTAAGTTTAAGCACTCAAAAAAACTCCCCTTATACTCGGTAAAGCTGTCTATACACGGTTTCATGAATGAATCTCTTAGGCCTACATCATACGTACATCTGTCTTTGTTGTTTATGATGAGAGAATTCGCGTGAGAGCTGAATTCAGTCAGCGAGTGCGTGCAGTGAACAAAAAAACCCTCATTTGAACGCCTCTGTTTGACCATTGCATTCATAAGCTCAACGGACTTGTGTGTGATTGGTTATAATGCGCAACACTGTAAAAACGTGTAAAAAAAACATGGCGCAACATTGAGCAGATCTAAATTTAATGCTGCGGTCAACACTTTTCCTTTCATTTTGTTCTCAACAGCTAAAAATGGATTTAGTTTAACTGTACAACCCTCTAATTGTTGTTATTGTCATATCGATGCATAATCACAGAAATTTGGCCCAAATTGTGCAAGCAAGCACAGTAAAAATTTAGATTTTTTGTGTTCTATAAATCACATTTTAAATTGCAACTCTATTTAAACTCTAGAATATCCATAAATGCCATAAATGATGCCGGCAAACAGAGCCTGTGAATTTTGGAAAGCTCTCGCTCTTTTTTAAATTTTTTTTTTTTATGTAATTCGCATAGATTTAGTCGCATATGTGAGTGATTTACTCGCAATGTAGAGGGTTGCTGTACAGTAGCATTTGTGTCGGTGTGTTGCCATAGTTTCTACAAATGGAAAATGAGGATAGTGCGGATATTACGTCATTGATAGGCGACAATGACCAGGGACGAGTCATTATTTAAAATTGGAATTTTTCTGGATTTACAACTCCTTGGGAACTTTTGGGATAATATAAATACACAACTGCATGAAATATATCACACTGTGCAAGTAGTTTTTGGATATTTTATTATGAAAATCTTACATATTGTACCTTTAAGCAAAACAAATGTGATTATTTCTGAGAACCTTTTATGCATATACTTAACTGCAGACATGGAACTATGTGGTACTGTACAAATATTTTGAGCATCCCTTATTTTTCTTTTCCGAAGCTGGCAACCCTAGCGATAAGACCCATATCTTCACAGTTTTCTATTTTATTTTTTGGCAGAGACCAATCAGTGTCAGTTGTATATTTGATTAACAATGATATTGTCATATCGATGCATAATCACAGAAATTTGGCCCAAATTGTGCAAGCAAGCACAGTAAAAATTTAGATTTTTTGTGTTCTATAAATCACATTTTAAATTGCAACTCTATTTAAACTCTAGAATATCCATAAATGCCATAAATGATGCCGGCAAACAGAGCCTGTGAATTTTGGAAAGCTCTCGCTCTTTTTTAAATTTTTTTTTTTTATGTAATTCGCATCAGAAACTCTGTTTAGCAGTTTTTGCAACCTGGGCCGTTTGCTCTAGCAGGAGATGCTCACCATCAGGCCACTGTTGTTCCTCAGACACTGATTATTTTTCAAAGACGGAGAGAGGAGAGGCCTCCAGATCTTTTATAGAGGAATTCCTCTGTTCAGAGATATTTTTTTATTATCTGTGTGTTGTTGTTGTCTCCGTGTATACTGGCGTGTAAAATCTAAGAATTTATTAGCCAATGGCTAATGTTAGACGTTATTTAGTCGCCCAGAGTAAGATTTAGTCGCATATGTGAGTGATTTACTCGCAATGTAGAGGGTTGCTGTACAGTAGCATTTGTGTCGGTGTGTTGCCATAGTTTCTACAAATGGAAAATGAGGATAGTGCGGATATTACGTCATTGATAGGCGACAATGACCAGGGACGAGTCATTATTTAAAATTGGAATTTTTCTGGATTTACAACTCCTTGGGAACTTTTGGGATAATATAAATACACAACTGCATGAAATATATCACACTGTGCAAGTAGTTTTTGGATATTTTATTATGAAAATCTTACATATTGTGCCTTTAAAGGTAGCTTAATGTCTTGTTTACATGCTACAAGGTGTCTCAAAACACCATAAATGATGCCCACAAACTTCCTTGGAAGTGATTTTAGGAGCCAGTCAGATTGGAGCTTGTGGATTTTGTAAAGCTCTTCCGATAACAGCCGGTAAAAACTAACCGGGTAAAAACTGGGTAACTGCAGTCGGCGCTATTCGTTTGCTGGGAAAATTTTTTTCTCTGTTGAAGCTTTGCGTTTGGTGCATGTATCTTCAAATGCAAATGAATCCCTGCCCACTTTTCCGCAGAGCCTTTGCTGCTTGCGCCTCAGATACTCTCAGTTTGGTCTTGGTTATCATATTGATCGCAGTCACACTCACGTGACATTGCAGTTCTTCGACATCATCATCTTCGTCATATCAGTGTAAACTTCTGATATATGGTGTTCTGAGCGCACACATCCGAAGTGCGAGCACAAAAAGCTGGCTGCCAGTTGGTGGGCCACGTGAGTACTAAACTAAGTTCTCTTTCTTGTCTTATTACACTTAAACTGTCAAATACAAGCAAGGTTATGTCAAAAACACATAAATGCAGTTGGTTATGTCTGTGAACATAAACAGCTGGGAAATAAATCGCATGTGTATATTCGATGTGTGTGACAGCAGCGCAATGTACAGTACCTATTGCTGTCTGTGTTGTTAATATGAATCAAACAGCAAAACAAAAACAGAAAATCACTCTCTGCTCTTGAATAACTTTAGTAGCTTTATAAGAATGAATTTCTTTCTTGAATTCTGATTTTAAAGGGAGATAAACATGGTGGACTGTGTACAGCTCACTTAAGGGAGGAGCTAAGCTAATAAGTCAGAGATTGTTATCAGTCGTGGGCGGGGCCTATTCAAAGTAATGAATCACTTTGGAGTACATTCCTGAACGGCTCATTTTTAAACACAATTTCTGATTTATGGGGAAAATAAAGAGTGGATGAATTTTTATCACAATAGTGTGGTTGTGTACGCACACTGCAGGCACATAATTATGTTCAAAAACAATAAAAAGTGCGTGTACTGGAAGCTTGTGACACTATAACAAATTCCTTGTATGTGCAAACATACTTGGCAATAAAGCTCTTTCTGATTCTGATTCTGATTCTTTCTGATATTTTCGGAAGCCAGATGCTCTCTCTCTAACCGTCTCTATCCGAGTGGACATACTTTCTAGCTGGTGCGGTTGGCCGTGTGAGTTGAGCCGCGCTGGTCAGTCTCCGTGTCTCTGCTCGAGGGGCACATATAAGCTGAAATGATGCCTTTATGAGTGAGGGTTTGTGCCCTGGCGGATGTGGTCACACTCAGAGCAGGAAGGCTTCACACCACAGGCCTTTAAAACGGGCACTGTGGAAGGGACCCTGGCCAGACCTGCAGCTATTCAGACCAGATTTGAGTCCCGACGGAACCTCGCGCTAAACACAAAACGCCAAAGTTTTCAAAAGTATGAAATGGAATATTCTGGCAATTCCAAATTCTTTCCACCTGAGCGTGTTGGCTGTGGAATGTTTTCAGATATTAAAAGTGTTTTATAATGTTTGCAGAAGCAAAAACATCCTGAATACTCACCCAGAATTTTTTACAGCAGCTGCTCTGGAAAGTTTCGGCTGTGTTTTCAAGTATTTTCATCTTGTCTTGTGAACAAGGCTTGTGGTATGTCTTCTTTTACATGAAGAATGTAAAAAACATACCAGTTCTGCTGCTTTAAAACACAGCCTGTGTTTTGTCAGAACATTTCAGCTGCCAGATATGCATGGAAATGTCAGTGTTTATTAAACTGCGGCCTTCTGAACTCATGTACGGAACCAGAGGAAGTATTTCTCGAATGCACGCATATTAGCAAATATTTATAATTAATTATAACTAGTTATGATTAATTATTCATATTTCCCCATGAGCTGATTCGCTACAGCTCTCTGTAAACACGGCACAGACTCTACAGGCGGTGACTAGTGTCTATTCAGCATCTTGTGTTTGCTAATGAGCGTTTTGTTTGCGAGTGGCCCTTCCTGCCTCGCGGGAGTCTGCTAAGGGGCGAGTTGATTCTCCTGTTTACATTGGGCTGGCAGGGCGACAGCAGGGTATTCCCGTCCCCAGGGTGTTAGCTTACACCGCGATTGTCTCAATGAAGCGCCACTACAGAAATACACCCACTGCACCGCTCAGCCAATCAGCAGTGCTCTTTTTGGGTGCCCTCAATAAGAACACTTCTTACACCTAGATCAGGTTTCCAAACCTTGTGATGTGATTTGTTTGCGTATGAACAGTTGAATGCTGATCCTGAGAGGTTTTAAATGGATGAATCCATATTTACTGCTGACGATGAATTGTAAGGCATAGCACTGCTGTTTAAGCCTCATCTAAATCTGGGCTGAACAATTAGTTTAGACAGTTTATCGTCACCCAGATTGATTCTGCATGATTTTGCATGCAATGCATTGAATTTACTGTACCATTAAGGATTCAATGTGAATCAATTCACCAAAACAATTATCTTTGCTTTCACAGTGTTCTTGGTCTTGAAATACACTCTTTTTAGCCACTTTAGATTCAGTTTTTCATTTGCACTGTTCTTTCCCTGTTTCAATATGATTGCCTATTATTATTATATATTGTTAATAATAATAACAATAATAGTAATTATAAAATATTGCATTAATATATTATATTTACTATTATCATCATTATTATTATATATACATTATTATTATTATATTTATTTTGTGTTGTTAATAATAACAATAATAGTAATAATAAAATATTGCATTAATGTATAATATTTACAGTTATCATTATTAATAATACATTATTATTATTATTATTATTATTGATTATGATGATGATAGTTTTTTTGTCCCTTTAGTATCCATTTTTTAATTTGTGCTGTTATCTCCCCATTTCAATATTTTTGTTATAATAATAATAATAATAATAGTAGTAGTAAATGTTATATAGTAATATATTTGTATTCATTGTTGCTGTTATCATTACAAATGTTAAATTGCATTATACAGGAATATATATTTTTATATTTGATTATTATATTTATTTATTTGTATTGATAACTTTACTTTTTTACTATAGGCTGTTTTAAATGCCTAAATCATTTCTTTATTTCTTTATTATTATTATTATTATTTTTTTTATAGTATTTTTACCATTTATTTGTTTAATTTTGCATATATGTACTGTATGTCAAAGGTGTTTTAAACCGTGCTACTATTATGTCAATGTGTGTGTATGTTGTTTTTTTTTGTCATGTGCTTTAGAATCAAGAATCAATTTTGAATGTTTTTTTTTTTCCTGCAATTGGCTGTATTTATTTAAATTCTGAACCCTTAGAATGTTTTAGTTTAACTTTGTTGTAAGTTTCACCTGTCAGAATCTTTCTCGTGCTTATCATCAACAAGTGGACAAGCCCTGAAACCTTTAAATAAGCCTGGAATAATACAGTTAGTTGATTTATGCCCTTATTAGCAGTGTGTCCAAATCTGTCTTGAGCTAATGTTTAAAGCAGGTTCCTATATACGCTGTCGGCTCTCAGGTGTTTCTGCGTGAGGGGTGAAAGACTGAAACTGGCGTCGCCTTGTTTATCCTGTCTCCTGTTGCACAAGATGGCATATTTCTGTCTTTACAACTTGGCCTGTAGATATTTTCAGCAGATACCTGTAAAAGAAACCCTTTCTGCTGTGGTGGGGGTGACAGGCCTGTCTCCTGCCTTCTCTCTTTATGAACAGTTTGAGGGAAAGAATCAATTCATGCATCGCAATTCTGACTCATTCTGTCGATCTACAAAATTCAAGTTATTTATTGAAAACATACACAGAGCCAATCAGCGAAGTGACTGAAGTGGTTTGAGCAGATGCTGATCCTGTGTCTTTATTTCATTATTTTTACGAGCTTGTCTCCGCGCTCTCATCTTGATGAGTAAGACGTGAGTCAGGAAAGACTCCCTATTTAGGAAGCGATACAGCAGTAACTCTGTAAATCTGCTCAGAATGCATCTGTGTCTGGGAATGTTCAGAACGCTGTCTGCTGCGTTGACCTCGGTGGGTTTCTTGCCTCATTTGGTGTGTGGTTTTAGTTCTGCTTATTAACAAAACATCATCACAAGATGTATGTGCCTGTTTCTGGCCTGATTGATGTTATTGATGTCTGTTATGAGATGTAAAGCCTGCTTTAATGAACACTTGACATAAGGAAAGCTGAGAAACATGTCACACCTCTTTATTTCATTCTCAAAAAAAAAAAATGTTCCCTGCTTTTCTGTGCAACCTTTTCTGGTATTTTGTTTTGTTTTATGTCTGAACATCACCTTGTGTGGCCTTTTTTGGTCAAAGGAGACTTTTCCCCCCCCGCAGATTAACATGCTTAATAATAATAATAATAATAACATTATTTTAAAAAATACATGTGAAATATCAGGCATATTTTTCTTCTGTTTTAATGTAATCCTCTGTTGTTTGCCAAAAATAAAAGGAATTGTTAAATTATCCTTTGATTACATTTTTTATAGAGTGATGTTGTTCATATTTTATGCCTTCATTTGTTTATAAATTTGTATTAAAGCATAAATCCAGAAAAATGTAAATAGACGTTTTTTCTGAGAGAGGGGGGAAAAAACTTAAAAAATAAAATGTTTCATATAGCCTGGTTATTGTAAAAATAAATAAATGAATAAATAAATAAAAAAAGTTTAAATTATAAACTTGTTAAAGTTTTATGAATTTTATATTGGACATGCTTGTTAGTTATTAAAATTTAAATAAGCCATTAAAACAGAATCCAAACAAAATTACATTGGAAAACATGCTTTAATTTGTGCAAAAATATAACAGATCTAAAGGGATAGTTCACGCAAATTCGGTTGTCGTTATCTCACCCCCAATTTTTTCCAAACCTGTATGAGTTTGTTTCTTCTGTTATACACAAGAAGATATTTGGAAGAATGATGGTAGCCAAACAGTTGATGGTACCCATTGACTTTCATAGTATTTTTTTTTTTTATATAAATGTAAAAGATGGCAGAATTAACATTTTTGGGTGAATTCTCCTTTTAATAGAGCCTGAATTAAGAATCAAGTCAGTTTTGATGCTGTGTTTTGTGGTTAAAGGTTTAATATGACTCTCTTTCTCAGGTGCTGGGCCGCTGCTTCCTGACGGTGATGCAGGTGCATTTCCAGTTCCTGTCACAGGCGTTGCAGAAAGTCCAGCCGGTGGCGCAGTCCTGTCTGGCCGAGGCGCTGGCGCAGGTTCAGGAGAGACACGGAAATGCCCACACACAGAACACGGGCCCTGGGCCCCTGACAGAGCTGGAGGAGGCCGTCTGCTCATGGAAGGGAGCTTCAGAGGTACAAACATCACCAATCAATGGTCATCCTGTTCAGTTAAAATACCTAAGTAAACTACTTTATAAAGCAAAGAAAAAATTATGCATTTTAGTCATCAAACCCTTACAAAATAATTTGAAAATGTTTGAATTAAATGAATTATATTTTAGAACATAGTTAAAATGTAACAAATTTTATTGATGTTTAATTAGATATTATATTTTATTAAAAATATATGTCTTATTTTTTTTGTGAGATTCACCCATTTATTGTCTAGATATGATTTTGCGAAGTCTCTTTGTCTTCCTATTCAGTTCGGGCTGCATACTACCTCAAATACTTAGCTAAATACTTTCAGATCAAATAAACGCTGAGTTAACCAGCCGTGTGTGTGCTTCAGGTGACAGCGTGTCTCAGGGAGAGAGGGAGAGACGGCTGTCTGTCTGGCATTCAGGTGCAGCAGCTCTTCTGTTCTCAGAACACCTCCATACCTGAACACCAGCTCAAAGAGCTCAATGCCAAGATCGACAGCGCTCTGCAGGTGAGCACACACACACACACACACACGCTTACAGCGGCTTACCACGGTAACAAGAGTTAATACAGTTATTACAGTTGTAGTTTGTGACGTAAAGTCATAATAAATGAACATGGATCTCCTTCAAGCACCCAAAGCATAGTTCATTGTCATTTTAAATCTTTATCAGTCTTTGTCACTATCCTTCAAAACACTAGGTTTCCCCCTTTGTCATCAAGTTTTACTTATTCTCACATATTCTACAATAGATGTACAAGTAGTACAGGTCAGGATTTGCATGTTTAATTTTTACATAAATATATCTGTTATGCTGAATGATTATCGAAAATAATTTCACCCATATTTTGACATCTTCACAAAAGTTATTTGAAACATTAAAGTAGACACTTTACTTGCATTTAATATGCTTTCTATGTTTATAAAATCACTTTCGTTCATTTCATTTGATGCAAACACCAGAATATTATATTCTTATTTTTAAAAGCCAATCTACAAACCATCAGGATGTGATTCACAGATGAAGGCCAGACAAAGTTGTGTTTGTGACATAAAAAGATAATTGTGAATGTTTTTTTTTTTCTTTGCAAATCTCATTGTATTTATTGGTGAATTTAATAAATGTTAGTGAAACTCCTCTCATTCTGTGTTTACTTTTTATCTTTCTCGTTACATTTATTTGTGGACCATAATCTATTTATGTGGAATAATGTAACAAAACTGTCCATATGTATTTGCTTTTAAGAATTTGTTGATCACCTGCAAGACTATGCTTTATAATGTTGTAAAAAATGTATAAAGTAAATGATATGTTATTCTGTTTATAATGAGGCTTATTTTGAGCCACTGACTGACCCACTGACATTAATAAGTCTCTCTCTGTGTGTGTGTGTGTGTGTGTGTGTGTGTGTTGCAGGCGTATAAAGTGGCGTTAGACTCTTTGGGTCACAGTGAATATGCTCTGAAGGCCGGATTTCACCTTAATCCCAAATCAGTGGAAGCAGCTTTGCAGGTATGTTTGCCGTGTGTGGAATTACAGCTTAGTGCAGATTAAAGCTGCTTTCTGGAGCTTCATGTGTTCAGCAGTCGCACAGGGACAGACGTTTGACTGTCCGCATCTTGTGTGATCCACCGTGCATCATATTCTGGATAAGAACTGTTCGGTTAGACAGGGAGAAACCATCTAACATGTTAAACAAGCAACCTCATTGCTTCAAATGGAACTTTGAACTTTGTAACCTTTCGATTCATTCTTCTTCTACAGAACAGCTCATTTTGCAGCCTGTTACTTGTAAACATGACTTTGCATTTGTGTGTTTTCATGTATCTGGGTCAGTCACGTGATTTTATTATGCGTTTTTGCAGGGCTGCTGTAGTGACGCTGAGGCCCAGCAGGCCGGACGCTTTCACACCACGTCTCAGCCCATCCAGTGTGAATTATCCACAATCCCCGTCCAGATCGGCTCTCATCTCCTCCGAGGAGTTTCCTTCAATGAAAGCACATCAGATAACCTCAAGCTTAAAACGGTACTCAGAACACACACTTCTGATTGATGACTAGAGATGGGATGAGGTCCCGGCTGGAAGTGTTTTCCATGAAAGCGAGTACAAAAATAAGAGAGGATAAAACTAGGAGAAGCGTGCACATCTCAGACTGTTTGTTTTAACCACTGTTATGTGCAGATCATGTCTGCCTCATATTTCACATCCAAAACAAGAAAATTAGGCCTTTTTAAGACCATTTAGCAGTTTTTCTTTATTGTTATTACAATTAGGCGCATTTTCATTTTGAGACCTTTTTGAAAAATCAATACTTTTATTCAGCAGGGATGCATTACATTGATCAAAAGTGACAGTTAAGACATATATAATGTTACAAAAGATTTATATTTCAAATAAATGCTGTTCTTTTGAACTTTCTATTCATCAAAGAATCGTGAAAAATAAAATCTATCAGTTTCCACAAAAATATGAAGCAGCACAGCTGTTTTCAGCATTGATGATGATAAAAATCAGAAATGTTTCTTGAGCAGCAAATCAGCATATTAGAATGATTTCTGAAGGATCATGTGACACTGAAGACTGGAGTAATGATGCTGAAAATTCAGCTTTGATCACAGAAATAAATTACATTTTACAATATATTCAAATAGAAGAGAGGTATTTTAAATTGTAATAATATTTTGATGAAATAAATGCAGTCTTGATGAGCAGAAGAGACTTTCAAAAACATCTTACCGACCTCAAATTGGTTGAGTAGTACAGTAAAACATTCATGCACATTACAGTAAAAAGAATCATCTTATTTCATTTAATGTAATCTCTTCCCAGCATGCCGTGCTGCAGCTGCTCAAGGATGCGGTGGATCAGAACGGTGTGGCCGTGCGAGATGATTCGCCCGTCACAGAGGTGCTGAACCAGGTGTGTCCCTCCAGCTGGAGAGGAGCCTGTAAGACGGCCGTTCAGCTGCTGTTTGGACAGGCTGGACTGGTGAGTTTCACACATTTGACAAAGAGCATAAAGTCTGATCCACATTGCAGCTTATTCCAGACAGGAACGGACCACTTGGACAGGAAGTCATGCGTAAAACCGTCAACCACCGCTTTTTTTTTTTTTTTTTGTCTTGCATTTACATGTATGTATTTTATCCAAAGCAACTTGCATTGTTTTAATGCATTCAAGGCAGTTTACTTTTTTATTTTAAATGTAATGTTTTTGTAATTTTGTTATTTTTATCATTTATTTATACATCTTTTTAAAATATGTATAATAATGTTTAATTTTTATTTCATATATGTGACCCTGGACCACAAAACCAGTCTTAAGTCGCTGGGGTATATTTGTAGCAATAGCCAAAAATACATTGTGTGGGTCAAAATTATTGATTTTTCTTTTACGCCAAAAATCATTAGGACATTAAGTAAAGATATTTAGTAAATTTCCTACTGTAAATATATCAAAACTTAATTTTTGATTAGTAATATGCATTGCTAAGAACTTCATTTGGACAACTTTAAAGGCGATTTTCTCAATATTTAGATTTTTTTGCACCCTCAGATTCCTGATTTTCAAATAGTTGTATCTCGGCCAAATATTGTCCTATCCTAACAAACCATACATCAATGGAAAGCTTATTTATTCAGCTGTATAAATCTCAATTTTAAAAAATGGACCCTTATGACTGGTTTTGTGCTCCAGGGTCACATATATTCAGCAACTAGCTGAAATAAAAAGTTTATCATTTGTATTTTTTTATATATTTTTTTTTTTTTACATTTATTTCAAGTACCAAAAATGTGTTTTATGGTTTTAGTTTTCTATTATAACCTTGATATTCCAGAATAGTTTTATTGGTTCACTGTCAGCAACGTTCACATGAAAGAAAGCATGAAAGTCTGAATACTGAGGATTTGAAAAAGGCCTCCGGCTACAGGAAAATGATTTCTGAATAATCATAAAGTGGTTTCCATGACTCTGTTTCTGTCCTTGCCGTGTGTGTGGTCAGAGTGACCGTGACCTTTGGGCGTGTGTGTGTTTTTAGTGGAGAGTCGCCCTCAGTTGAGTCACATTGAGGATACACCTGCGCTATTAATAACAATAGCCCACTTCCTGTTTGATAGGAAACTCCCTCTCCGTTTCAAATGCAACTGCATGCTGTGGCTACACGGCCTCTTTTTAAGAACTGTGGGAAATGTTTCATTTGTGTTTTCGGATGGAAACGGCTCCTGACAGTGATGAAAAGTCGGGATACTGGGGCTCTCAAGCATCCACTTGGCATTAGTTTGACTGTGAAATGATTGATTATGATCATTGGACGAGCAACACATGATTTATACTGGCAGATCTTCATGACAGTGTGTGTGTGTGTGTGCAGGTTGTGGTTGACACGGCTCAGATTGAGAATAAGGAAGCTTACGCCCCTCAGATCTGTCTTGAAGGATCTAAAGTTGTGATCCAAGTTCCATCTACATGGTGAGTAACCGTATATGATAAGATTTATGTAATTATAGCAGTTAATTGAATCTCAGTAGACCGACAGCAGATCCGCGTCTTCTATGTCTGCAGGTTACTAGAGTTCAAGCTGCTTTATTTACCACTTATTCAAAGTATTGACTAATGTTGTATGAACGACATTAACCATTATTTTCTTAATGAAGACATTTATCTCTGTTAATTTGGATGATTTAGGCTCAGTTTCAGGAAAAGCATCAATCATGGTTTCTATTAAATAGCAAATTGAAAGTGGTTATATAATTGCTATATTTTAATATTGTTAAGTTATTGGAATTAGTTGTATTTATTTTTGTTTTTTTTTAACTGTATTTTCTCTACTCATAAGTTTACCATGAAAACAGACTTTCCTGATTATATGGCATACAGTAAAAATACAGTAAAATAAAATGAATAACATTGAAATCTAATCTTATCTTCTAAATGTACTTTTTGTCTTGTAGGTGTCTGAAGGAGGATCCAGCGACAATGTCTCTACTGCAGCGCAGTCTGGATCCAGAGAAGACCCTCGGTCTGGTGGATGTGCTTTACACAGCTGTGTTTGACCTCCAGCGCTGGAAAGAGTGCAAGTCAGTGTCAGCATTAGTGCTGGAAACATACCTTCACATAGATCCCTCAAGGACAATAGGAATTTTAAAATGTTCAAAAGTTTGGGGTTAAGATTTAGTTTTTTTTTGCAAAAGTAATGCTTTTATTCAACATTGATGCATTAAATTGATTAAAAGTGACAGTAAAGACAGAAAGGATTTCTGTTTCAAATAAATGCTGTTCTTTTGATCTTTCTATTCATCAAAGAATCTTGAAAAATAAAATGTATCATGATTTCCACAAAAAAAGTTGCAAGTTTGTTTATGCGCTAAAATAACTAAAATGAAAACTGCAATCAAATTGTTTAGTTTAGTTTAGTTCATTTATTTAACAGGGACCATGCACAACACAAATATCGTACTAGAGTTTGCTAATTTGCATCTGTAGTCCCTGGGCAGGATATTGTTAAAAAATTGCAGCACTCCATCACAATAAAAATTACAATATCACAAAAAAGTATAAAACTAAATAAACATAAAGAATAATAAAACTGGGGAAAAAAACAACAAAATTACTTGTTAAATTAATTAATTAAATAAATTAAGACTTTTATTAATTAAATAAATTTAATTAAATTTATAAAAATACAGACTTTTTGATTTTATATATATATATATATATATAGTTATCATTTATTATTATTATTATTATTATTAATTTAACACAGAATCCTTGTGAAATACAATCTAGAAAATAAAATGCACAATGCACAATGTATACAATATTTTACTGAAAAAAATATATTTATATATACTAAAATAACTAATCTTAAAGGGCACCTATTATGCCCCTTTTTACAATGTAATATAAGTCTCCGGTGTCCCCAGAATGTGTCTGTGAAGTTTCAGCTCAAAATACCCCACAGATCATTTATTATATTATTTTGAATATGCTTATTTTGAGTGGAAGCAGAAACATGCTGTATTAAAGCATGTCTCTTTAAATGCAAATGAGCTGCTGCTCCCCGCCCCCTTTTCCAGAATAGGGCAAACATCCGTAGCACGCCTATAGAAAGTGGCTGCACACGGCATGAGTGTACTAAAGTTCTCTTTCATACACGAGTTTGTTAAAAACATGCATAAGTTACAAAAACACAGTTGGTTATGTTTGTGAAGGTAAACATCTAGGAAAGAAATCGCATGTTTATATTAGATCTGTGTATTAAGTGACAGCAGCATAATATACAGTACCTATACTGCTGTCTATGCTATTAATATGACCCAACAAATAAAATATAAGCAGAGAATCACTTACTGCTCTCGACTGAATAACGCCTTAATAAGAAGACATTTCTTTCTTGAATGCTGCTTTTAAATTAAAACGCTCCAGCGTGAAGATAAACATGGTGAATTGTGTGTGGCTCACTCAGGGCGGGGTCTCAGCTAGCTTATGGCAGTGTCAAATCAACAATCGTGGGTGGGGCTGGTAAATTGTGACGTCCCCCTTTTTCACGGATTCTGTGATCGGCTTGCTCTGAGACGCTGCTAATGATATATGGAGATTTAAAAAAAAAGGAGCGGGTGGATTTTTAGCATTATAGGGTGGTTGTGTACACACACTGCCAATACACATTTATGTCCAAACAACATGTGAAAGTGAATTTTGCAGATTAAAAAAAGGAGTGGGTGGATTTTTATCATTATAGGGTGGTTGTGTACACACACTGCCAATACACATTTATGTCCAAACAACATGTGAAAGTGAATTTTGCATAATAGGTGCCCTTTAAAGCTGAAATAAAATCAATAAAAGCTATATAAAAATAAAAAAATACTTTAAAATTAAAATGGAAAAGTTAAAAACTAATTCAAAATTTGAATAAAAACTATAATAGCACCTTCATGATACTAAAATAATAATAATAATAATTTATTTGCTGGTGTTTCTGTGCGCAGGGAACAGACTTTGCCCACCATTCAGATCCAGCTACAACGAGACACGACTGATTACGGCGGCCTCGTCGATCTCCCTCCGGGGAACAGCACCAAATCTTCAGGCGGCCTCCCCAAAACCATCTCCAAACTCACCTCACGCTTCACCAAGAAAACCTCGTCCAACTCCAGCGCAGGCGGCAGCTACTCCATCCCCAGCACCCCGTCAAGGAGCAGCGGCAGCTCGGACGACAAAGCCAGCCGCCTGCACAGCCTCCTACAGATGAGCAGCATGCCGTGCACACCTGACCCCAGCCACGCGCATTCTTTTTTTTTTAATTTAATTTATTTTTATTTCAGTTTTAGTAATTTTCATACTTAACCAATTTATTTTAGTTGCAAAATGTCTAATTTTTTTACGTTTTACATCTAATATGCATATTTTAGAATTTAGCTTTATTTCAAGTTTAAAGTGTGTGTATTTTATGTGCGTCTATATATACATATATATATATATATGTATATACATATATATATATATAATGCTATCAGTTTACAAAACTATCCTATTTTTATCAAAACTGGTTTATACATTTAAAGCGGACATTTTTTAATATCATGACATACTTATTTTATTGTACTGCTACTGCTGTACTATTTTTACTGGATTTTTATGCATACATGCTTTTTGAGCTAATATTGCCCACGACCCCTTGTTCTGGTGAGGATTGAAAGACTGAAGCCGCCACAGTAGTTTTTACACATATAAAGCCGAGATGTGTTCATGTCTCCATCTCCATCTGATTAATTGCATTACTTTTATTGCAATATTTTCTTTATAATTAATTGCTCTGAAAGAATACATCAAAATGACAGTGTAATTTTAATGTAATGAATTTAGTTAGATGCTAACACTTGAATGCACATAATAAGAGGGGTTGTCACATCACAACACAATTGTGTTACTTATTCAAAAGTGTTTTCTCATTACGCATTGTTAAAAATGCCATGGTTTTTATACTGTGTGAGTGTGTGTATGTAGTGGTTCCTGTGATGCAGCAGGTCACTTTAGTGCATTAGTGGTGCATGTGTGTGTTGGACTCTATTATGTGTTTCTGCTGTGCTGGACATATATACATATATATATATATATATGTATATACATATATATATATATATAATGCTATCAGTTCACAAAACTATCCTATTTTTATCAAAACTGGTTTATACATTTAAAGCGGACATTTTTTAATATCGTGACATACTTATTTTATTGTACTGCTACTGCTGTACTATTTTTACTGGATTTTTATGCATACATGCTTTTTGAGCTAATATTGCCCACGACCCCTTGTTCTGGTGAGGATTGAAAGACTGAAGCCGCCACAGTAGTTTTTACACATATAAAGCCGAGATGTGTTCATGTCTCCATCTCCATCTGATTAATTGCATTACTTTTATTGCAATATTTTCTTTATAATTAATTGCTCTGAAAGAATACATCAAAATGACAGTGTAATTTTAATGTAATGAATTTAGTTAGATGCTAACACTTGAATGCACATAATAAGAGGGGTTGTCACATCACAACACAATTGTGTTACTTATTCAAAAGTGTTTTCTCATTACGCATTGTTAAAAATGCCATGGTTTTTATACTGTGTGAGTGTGTGTATGTAGTGGTTCCTGTGATGCAGCAGGTCACTTTAGTGCATTAGTGGTGCATGTGTGTGTTGGACTCTATTATGTGTTTCTGCTGTGCTGGACAGTTTAAACAAAGAGCAGGACAAAGCGATACACATCACTCTCTCTCTCTCTATCTCCGTCTCTCCGTCAGTGGGCTCGGATCCAGAGTTTGCGCGTTATGTTGCCGGGGTCAATCAGGCCATGCAGCAGAAACGACAGGCGCAGCATGTTCGTCGGCCCAGCAACACCCGCAGTAACTGGCCACACCCAGACGAGCAGCACAGGGGCTGGACACACCCAGAGTACTACAGCGAGGGGTGAGACGCTCTGACCAATCACAGCACAGCATCTCATCATGAATTGTTTCAGTGTCCAGTTTCCATCTTCTTAGTAAAGTGCAATAGAGTTACGCTTGAAGTGCAACTTTACGTGAAAATTGTAAGCTTCTATAGCTCTGATTTCTGATGCATTTCATTTTTAAGTACATAAAATAGTCTGAAGTGAGACAGACGTGTAAATCACAGTAATGATCCTCTGTTGACAATCGTGCACCTGCATAACAGACACTAGTATTGCACAACATTGTTTATCCTAGGGCTGCACGATAAATCGAATTGAAATCGAAATCATGATTAGACAGAGGCTGCGATTGTCATGCGTATCTTTCAGTGAAGCACGGTTCTGTGATCAGTAGTAAATCTCCATCCGAAGGCCAGAGGGCGCTCTCGCACGGAAAGTCCAAATACGCCCGCAGAAGAAACCCAGGAAATCCCTATAGGGGTTGCTGAATAAACAGAAGATTTAAATGCTTTCATTTATTCAGCGTGACTAATAAACACATGACTACGGCAATATATGGTTTATCTGAGTTCTTATTATTATAATTTTCATTATAATAAAGTATGTCTATAATGCAATGCTAATCGACATAGCTTTTATCACTGCTTAGAATACTATGAAATATGTTGCGTGCCTTATTCTGTATAAGAAGCCACATCATCTCACAGAAGGATTTATTTCAAACACTCGGCTGACATTATGAAGTGAGTTTGGAGTAAAAGCATGTTATTAAATGTGATATTTTCACGTGCTTTCAGATGGAGCAGCATTTACTACAACGATTTCTTCGATTTCATAATCGTACGATTATGTCGTCTGCGATTGTTTTTGCCTAGCTTGTCAGAGAACTACGGCTCTTTGTATTAAATGCTGCTTCATCTGAAAGCAGGTGATGGAGATTTACTACTAATCACAGAACC